CGAAATGCCTTTTAAAACTTAAATTGGTAGTGTCATTACATTGCCGCAAATGAAATTACGACTTTATTACAATGAATGTAGCTTTTGTACGGAAACTTGACCGTGACATATCACCTTAACAGTTCTTAAAAAATTAAGTGAGGTACACAGAAATATAGTCGTCGCAAGCGTCGAGCAGTGCCTGTCTCAACATCGGGTCGCGTGCCTCCAGCGCCGCGAGTGATGCTTGCGACGCGTGCGCCGGTAGGAATAGCGACATGCGTTCCGATTCGCCCCACGAGTAGTTTAGTGTGCCTATAACCAACCAAAAGTCCTTGCAATACACTATTGGCACACTCGCATTTTGTACGATATGTTGTATATTGTTTCTAGTAAATGATAATTCATTTATGTTTACGAGGGTGCTTCTTGTACAGCCCAGGGCACACCAAGCTTAATACTATAGTAAAATAACACAAATATATTTGTTTTCTTCATAATGGAGCGTGTAACCGTTTCGAAATATTGGAAAAACGAAAAGAAATCATACTTTGGTAAGAAACCTGTAATTTAGTGATACCTAATCATAAAACAGAAAATCTCTATTCTTTTGTGTTCGTGTTTGTGTCTCATGGAGCAATAAACATGTTTGACGTAATTTCACTTATGCCATTCTTCTATGAGGGGTGCGATATGTACAACCAATTTCTTTCGGGGTAACTTTAGGAAATTACCTAATCTTCATTGTAGGGACTTACCGTAGTAGCGCAGCGGCCAGTGCGTGGGGCTGTGCGTCCGCGCAAGCAGGCACGACGGCGCCGCGCCGGGCGTCAGCACTCGCGCTGGCCACCACGGGCAGCCGCGCAGCCGGTGCCACACCACATCGTCGTATCTGCGGCGCGGGACACTAGCGTTCTGAGCTTGCACTCAACTGAGTCATTAATGCGGGTAGGGTGCACGAAAGAAGCCTCCTCGCAACGACTTATCAATCGTGAACCATGAACCAATACCTCAACAGGACTCCAAATCGCGATACAAGGCAGCACAGTCGAGTATTTAGTACCCTATTGGTACACCAGATGTCGCGACGAGTGCCAAATAGCTATTTTTGTAACCAATTTGTTTTACATTGACAAGCTGCAATTTATCAAAGTTACTTTAATTTCTAGGAATAACCAATGGTCGGAAAAAGGTGTTCAACATATATAGATACATGTAAAGATATAGCTACAAGGGAGTTATTGAAACCGCTAAACATTAATTAATTTCGTCGAATTCCGGATTTCCGGATGAAAGAAACTCTTCTCTTTATTCCATTTATGAATATACATATCCGTATATTCATGTATGTCCGTATGTCATATCGGTACATGGGTACGGCTGTCAAAAAGGCACTGTTTCGTTTTGAGCGTCCAGAAGTTTTTTTATAAAAAGTATTAAAGTAATCTAGTGTGAAGATTTTCCTTTTAAAATACGACATTTCTGCTAGTGGTTCGAATTTATGATCATCTGTTGTACTGTGTTTTTGGATTTAAATAAAATAAATGCAAACTAAAATGCCCTAAAATTCCTCTCGTCAGTAAAATTGTAAATTATTTTTTTTCTTATGTTCTACTAGCAAATGTCGCCGATGATGATGCGGTTTCTAAAGCTAGGGAAGAACGGAGCGTGACCATTCTCGTTACCTTTTTATTGTACGTTTTAGTAAAAGGTCAGTTATCTACTGTATTTTTTACATGGCAACATTAAAATGACTTTAAAATCATACTTCGACTTCCTAAGTCAGTAATTTTGTCCTACGATGCAGTAAAACCATTTCCTCAAATCCGAAATTCGAAAAAATAATTAATTAATATTTGGTGGTTTTAACAACTCTATGGCGCTCCTTGTAGTTATATCTATTCATGTACATATCTACATATGTGGAACACCTTTTTCCGATCATAGTCCTTGATAATAACAATGAAATCAACTAGATGGCGCTTATTGCACAGATTTTTACTTTGTTTAGGATTAGCGCCATCTTGGGCGTTTTTAGGAAGAGTTAATCTATAAATTAGTTTGTAACACACGATACCATCTATTGACACGCATATTTATCAAAATTCAGAAAATAATTAGTACTTATGATCAATAATTATATTTGAATGATAAATATTACAAGAAAAAAAAACTGACTTCTTATATTTCATATTAAAGCGGAATTGATAATATGATAACCACGGCCATTTACATAATATAAACTACTTCCAGGCAACCGAAACGGAATTTCGACCTTTTTCAGTTACGAGTTACGATATTGTAGTATGGAGATTACAGTCCTCTTGAGTTGGCTCATGTCATAATTAATGTAATCGAAATATTTAGCTAAATTGAGTTATTAACGCGTCTGAAACCAGCGAAACGGGATCTACAACCCTTAAATAAGGTTTTCTATATCTTATTTAGGTTCAGTTTTATTGTTAAGCAAATGAGCGAAATTGACGTTTTTAACAGAAAAATAAAACTAGAGCTGAAAAACTCCACAAAAATGCAAATGCCTTATGACAGGGAGGGCTGATTTGTCCCATGCCTAAATTGACCATAACTGTTTGCCCTCTGAGCGGGACGCTTGTAAATTTATTATTGTTTTCAAATTGCTTGTAATTTTATTATTGTTTGTTTCGATTGTTTGTTTTTTGTTTCAGTGGCTTTGTAGGAGAAAATCAGTATCAATTTGCAAGTATTTATTGAATAATTAACACTGGTAAAACGTGCGAGCGCGCCATGTTTTTTCTCAACCCGGTCATTGGAGGCGAGCCGCGACGCGAGGCGAAGGAGGAGTTTCTCTCTTCCTTCACAGGTGGAGTCACTATGCGTGGAGCGGTAAGGTGGGAGATTTCCAGCGTTATACTTGTTTATTGTAGTTACAAAATGTTTAATTATTTAAAAAAATAAAAAGACTTAAACATATTTGATGATAAAAAATTTAAAAAAGCAGCCCGGCTACCGATTCGATATCACGCTACCGATTCATTCCTGCCAATGCACATGGAGTACGGACGCACATACAACTAAATACTAATCAGTTAGTCTAATTTGAAGGCACCCTTAACGTAGAATAAAACGTACGCGTCTCTACATATCGTCGGGGATAGTACAATTACGCGTAACTAGCATTTGATTGTGAGTCTCCATTTTGGTAATTTATTGGCCAAATCAATTCCGCGTAGAAGTCGTGGCAACCAAATTATCGTGATTTACGGGAATCTATTGTTATCAGTCTGTAGACAACATAAATTAATGCTTACTGTGCAACAATTAAAGTCGTAGCCATTGAAATAACAAAGTAATAACGTTAAATCCCTCGCAGTGGTTTGGTTTGGCGCGTTTTACCAATACTACATACGCGGATTTGCACTAGGTATCCCCGACGATATTGTAAAGTAAGGACACTGCTTACATTTTTTTAAACAATTTCAAAACAGGATGAGGTTCTCAATTATACTGATTTGATGATTCTTCTTTGTTGGAAAGAGGGTACCTCGATAGTGGTCCCACTTAAATTTGACGAAAATATTCCACCTCTAAGGGTGGCAAACTAGGGGTTCTGGTAACCAATTTCAATAAAAGGCAAATAGATGTAATTCCTCGAAATTTTGAGGTCGGTTTTTTAGTAGGTTCTTTGTTAGGCTTAAAATTGAAGCCATTTAATAGCTTCATAAAATAATTGATTTATTTAAGACAACATAGGTTTATAGAACTTGAGAGTAATACCTTAGGGCTCCTTCAAATTAGATGCTTATATAAATGCTGCAGTGGTATCCAATATGGGCGCTACTTTTGCAGTCACAATTAGTGAAGTAACTGCGTCACTGCAGCGCTTTTAGAAGCATCTAATTTAAAGGCGCTATAGATCCCTTCTTAATAGTAAGAGAACTAAAACTAAAAATAATAGATACCCAACTCTGGGGCCCCACATGCAACTGGGGCACAGGTCAGTAGGCTCACGGTCTTTTTTCACTGAGCATATAGTGCGCGTACTTGATAGAATCTTTTGTACTATAGTGGTGGGTTTGGCGACTTTCTGAGGAGGATTCTTGCGATCTGAAAACCAACCACGGGCGTTAAAATTGCATTTGGATAACATTTGGGAAACAATGAAATCAATGAACATTACGCCAACTGAATTTTTGGGCGAAGAAGAAGAAGAAGAAGTAGAAGAAGAAGAAGAAGTAGAAGAAGAAGAAGAATTATTTTAGAGAATTTTCTTTTCTCACTACTGAAAAAACGACTCGTCAAAGAAATTCAGACATCGATTTTCATATTAAATGTTTAAATACATAAAATGGTCTTACGTATAATCGTGACAAGCCATTCTTTGCGACAGGCCAGATGGAAGGACGAGGGGCAGTTGACACACTCGCGTAACTTATCCTTTTGTCCGCAAACGAGGCACCATGATGTATGCAGTGTTATTATTGTCTTCTCTGGTGAGTTTGACTTCTATAATAAAATTAAAAATCCTTAGTGGGCACGGGATTAAGCTCCGAACCGTAAGGTTTAACTGTAAAGTTAAAGTAACAAAGACATTTCAAATAACATTAGTTTGCCTTTCGTATTGTTTTGACTGCCGCCATGACAGAGTTTAAACTTCTCTTGCGTAGTCATTAGCAACTATTTTCAAAATTGTTAGAATAATTGTTATAATAATCGTATTAGTGATATGTAAATGAATAAAACAATAACTTCATTTATTTTGCATATAAAACAAAATAAACAGTACGACTCACCCGTAGAACAAAGATCTACGTGCAAGACTACTTGTTCTCAGGACATAGTACATTTCGTTCGTTCTTCTTCGCTGTGGATGTCAGATCGACTGTTGTTCGATGTTATATTTCCGAAACGAAATAATATATATAAATTTTTAAAACGCCTTTACATAGGTCTTACTTGGAATAACTAAATTATTCTCGTAACGTACTTATTCTTATTTCGCTATATAAACACATCGGACTCTGTTCTTCAGATGAGTCGATTTTGTTTCTTTACACATGCTTGCCCTAGTATTTTCATTGCAGTCGTACGAAGATTTTAAGCAAGAAAATTTATGAGTACCGTCTATTTTTAACCGACTTCAAAAAAGGAGGAAGTTCTCAATTCGACTGTTTTCTTTTGTATTGTATGATAACTATCACAGCATTTGTGAACCGATTTTGATGATTCTACTTTCGGTGGAAAGAGGGTACCTCAATACTGCTAACTAAAACCGCGTCTAAGTGACAAAATAATTTTTTGAGATTTAAACAACCATATAACTCAGTTTTAGAATATTGGACTTGTTTAATGATATTTCAGCCATGCATCGTTAGGATAAGTTCCGACAAGTTGAACACGTTAACTAAATTTAACTGTTTTCAAAGGAGAATTTTGTGCTCTATCTTATGCTATTTAAAACGGATATTTGACCAATTGTCACTTAGCCGCGTTGTAGTAAGTGGGCGGCAGGTAGTGGTCCCATTTTTTGAAGAAAATATTCCGCCTTTGAGTGGTGGCAGACTACACTTTCTTTTGTAACCAATTTCAATCAAACTTGGCAAATCACGAACTTTTGAGGTCACTTTCTTTATAAATATACCCTATTTTCATATATCTCCTTGGCATCTTGTGAATTAATTATCTAGTATGTATATTGATTTTTATTGAATATCACGATGCTTTACTACAATGATATTTAATAATTTTTGTATTGCTCCACTAGTTTGTTGTAATTATTGTTACAAGACGGAACAAACGAAAAATTTGTTACATTTGACAGGACTTCAACCTGCATCTAGTTGCCCAAATCGAAGGAATTTTTATTTTTGTTGGAATCATGATTTTTAAAGCTATGGTCAATGTTAGGCCAGATTTTTCATAAAAGAACAAGCAGAAAACTCTTAGGTTTAGACACTGAAGTAAATTGTATAATATAAGCAAAGCTAGTGTACACGAAGGCGTCAATACTGTCCATAGTGCAGGTGCAATTGATCAAGGCGACTCATCCAAAGAACAGAGTCCGATGTGATTATACAACGAAATAGGATAAATACATAATCTCCTTATTCAAAATAAGGCCTAGCTATAGGTGTTTTCATAATTTCATGTATTATTTCGTTTCGGATATATAAAATCGATCAATGGTCGATGTGATATCCACAGCTAAGAACAGCGAACGAAATGTATAATGTTCTGAGAATAAGCAGTCCTGCACATAGGTCTTTGTTCTACGGATGAGTCCAAGGTGTACCATGGTACATGTACTGTAGAAATTATTATGTTGTTGCCTGGTTTATAGCTTTGAATTTGGGTATGGTATGTGTATCTTTAGTTTTAAGAAGTTCGAGGAGGCTTTCACTACTAAGTCTCCCAGAGGTGGGTCCGCCGTCGCGGACAACCGCAGGCGGGGCCATGGATTGTATACTAGGTGGCCACAGCCCCGTCCCATGCGTGGTGTGGGAATACCCGGGGTTTTTAGTGAGTAGGAGTCTCACATAACCACAGCACCTCCCCGTGACGCGGTGGTATCCATGACGGATTTTCCCCGGAGAAAAAGGGTTTTCTACTAAAAAAGAAACTTCGAGAAACACTGCTAAAGGAGGCCCTTACACATAACACGACTAACTACAAATTAAGTTAATCATAACCATACTAACATATAAAATAAGTTGTAAGTAAATGAGTAAAATAATAAACTGTAATGATAAACTGTAAACATTTAGGTATATTGTAACGGATAAAGTCATAAAAATTAATAAATATCTATCTATCTATCTTACTATACATTACCATTATTATACTGCCTATACTAATATAATATTATTATATTATACTATTATTATAACTGCCTCTGTGGCCAAACGATTAGAAATATTTGTATGGCTTACATTTATTTCTCTCGTGAGTTTGGGTGTAATTTGTGGTTGTCTATGTGTGTGTCCATGGCACCCGCGACACAGGGTTTCCCTAGTGCGGGGCTATGTTGAGTGTGTGCGTTATATTATTATATTCGTATTTCTTTGTCACACTTTTGCTTGTATTCTTATATCATCTGCTTAAAGGTAAAACCACAAAAGTGACATTCCACAAATCCACAAAAAATCTGAAATTTATGCAGCTGTTGTAAGAAAATCACCATCTTTCTGCTAATAAAATCACTTATTGAGTTTATAGCTTTCTTGTTATTGAGTTTCACCTGCAGAAAGATAGTGATTTTCTTACCATACCTATATAAAGTCTTTTTGTAGAAATGTCACTTATGTGGTTTTACTTTAAACAGACAATATCATGTACGATATTTGGCATTATAATATTTGTAAATTAAATTTGGTGGAAGATGTAGTATCTGTCATACAGTTTTACTTAAAACTAGTATGGGCACCAATGTACAACCTTATTTTAAAAATGTTCTTCCTATAACAATGTCACATAAATTTAGGATACCATGGAATTGTTTTGACTCAATAAAGATTTATAATGAATATACTATTCCATAATTTCTTTGCTTGTACCAATATGCGTCTGAATGTCGAATGAGAGCTTGTCATTAGCACAACTGGTTATTACTACACTATTATGAAATTTAATTTTTAAATTGTACTTACAGAATGATCACATCCCTCCTTGTTCTCCATAGCACCAGATTGCCAGTTAACAAAGTTATACCTCCAACACTGGTGCAAATAATTCTCAATTTCCTTTTCTGTTACAATATTTTTAATCACTGTTTCAAATTTATCTTCCGTACTGGCATTAACATTTTTCAAATAATCCAGTATATCCAGGTTTACATTCATGTTCTCTTCTAAAACATTATAGAAGTGGTCGAATAAAGTCTCTTTGCCCCTGCGTACAAATTCTTTGAAGGCATTTTCGTATTTGCTTAGCTTCATTGGCATGTGACGAATGTCAAAGGTTGTGTTCAAATCAGGGTCGTTATGTTTTGTTAGTTTAACTTCCATTGGAAGTATGTGATCTTCTTTTACTTTTCTCTGAAAATATTTTTTTTTTATTCACATGTAAGAGCGCATTTTACATCTATCTCACCTGATGGAAAGTCGATGAGGTCGATGATGAAGCATGCAAACCTAAATAATGCCTATTCACTCTCGCTTTGAAAAGGTCCAAGTTATTCCATTAAGGTCCATTCAGGGAACAAGTCTGCAGGCAGGGAATTCCACCCCATAGCCGTTCGCCATATAAATGTGGAAGGGTAACGCTTCATGTGAATCTTTGAAATATCCACAGCATAAGGGTGGAATCCAAGCCTTCATCTAGTCCCCCGATGATGGAAAGGGGAAGGTGGAATTAAATCATGCAATTCCATCACATACTCTCCATTATATTGTTATTGTAAGTACGTTAGAGCGTTCAGAGGTATGCCTTTTCGAGGTCTAGTGATTGTTGAATCTTACAGAGCACAAAAAGATATTTATTTTTGTTTGAAATATTTATGTAGTTTTATTTTATACATAGATTTTACATGTATTAGTGTATCATCAATTATTTATTATATGTTATGTATATGTATTTGTATGTACACACACCAGCAAATCAAGCTACACATTGACGTATCTTGTTCCGTTGCAATGGAGTGGTGGGATTTTTGAACAAAAATGTGTAGTCTGATGTGCCGTTGTCCATACATAAGTGATTATCTGTGTAATTATTGAGTACTGCTGGAAAAGAACCTTCTCTAAATACTTAAAACTTAGAGCTATCAAAAATATTTTTTTGTAGCTTGAACAAGCAAATAAAATACCTTTCTAGGCATAGAGTTAGTTTTTGGCACTGGTTTACTGTTCAGGACTTTATCCTTTCCATAGAACGGTCTAGAACGCTCGGCTAAATACAGACTGGTGTAAGGTAGCCACAGATTCTGGCCTGTGCGGCTTATTTCCACATGGTAGCACAGTTGTTTCGTTACTTTTATGCTGCCGTCTTCTTTACACGATATGCCTAGAACTGAATAAGTTTTTAATTTAAAATACTTATTGTCTAAAGTCCTCACTCTCTATGTTAGGGGAGTGTTAGTTTTTGTTCCAACATTCGGGAAAGAGAGAGATATTTGATGAAGATAAAACTTTGGAAAATTAGTATAATACCTTTCTCGTCATGGAAAACACCGTCTTCATTCTTCACTACTCTAACTTTAGCGTACACTTTTCTGCTCAATCGGGCAAGCGCAATTTCTCCCACTTTCCACACGTAAATACTCATGACTATTATAATTTTAAAATAATTAAATAAAAGTATCTCGCACAAAACTTTTTTTAAAAACTTTATTACCATTCCTATTCTTTTTCAGTACTATCATTCGTTCTTTGGATGTAAAATCATTCGGTCTAACTTCCGATGAAATTCAGTTGTTCAATTAAAAATTCATCTATCATTTAATAAAGACAGAAATATAATTTACACATTTTAATTACAGCTATCTCTTTGTCAATTTATTAAATTTGCAAAAATTGTAATAAATAGACATATTTACCGCCATCTAGTGTTCAGTAGTAGAACTGACATACTACCGACAACTGTTTCAACGATGTGTAAGTTTTTAGTTAATTAATATTTGTATAGATGGCGTTACCATGCACTTTTTGTTGAGACTAATCAAAGTATTGATTTAGAATTCTATAACGAAGAAAAGAGCTTTTTATGTATCGTTCAATTATTTTATCATTACAGGTTCAGTTAATTAGCCTTGGTCATGCTTTTAAATAGAGTTTTATATCCAGTTTCAATTAATATTCAAAGTTATTGATTATAAAGGTAAGTAGGCAAAATAAATACGGGATACCTATATGTATACGTAAATCCCGTCTGACCCATTAACTAAATTTAATAATAGGATAAAGTGTACTATCGCGAAAATGTATGCGCATTTGTTCGTTCCCATGGCTCTAGTTGTGTATGCGTAGGGGATTATCGTTCGATTTTAGTACCTATATATAACAAAGTTGAAAAAACGAATGTGTCCCAAATAATGTCTGATTACTGAAATTCGACACTAAAATCATAAAGGTGATCATTATCAACATACAAGCTGTATACTACCACAATGTCCTTGTGAATAAGCTTGATTGTGCCAAAGGACTACGATGAAAACATAAAAATTCTGATTGAATAATCATTTTTATAATCATTAGATCATCATGTGCAGACTATTAAAAATTTGTCAACCTTATTAATACAGGACATACGCCTCTTGCAAAAAAGTGTATTCTCCAAAATGGCCACGCTTGGTTGGTGTCCGCAGTAAGTTAAAAAAAAATGTTGTCTAATAAGTATGAAAAAATTGATTATCTCGCACACTACAGACGATGTAACACTGCTGCATTGCATATAATCTTTCTGCATTGCATGAATCCTCCAAGTTACCAAGCTTATCGAAACGGAATCGCATTATTGCCATGTAATAAGAGCGAGAAAGACATTGTGTGTTACGCTATAGTGGTCAGAGAGGAAGCAAAACGCATATTTTGTTTTTCATTTTTATTGCATGGAAGCTTTTTAGGTTCAAAGATACTTTATTCTCGTTAAGACTGTTGGCACCATGTTGGCACTTACCGACCTGCATGAGAACTCACAAAACGTCTAAGCCATAGACAAACTACACAAGAAACATTACTGTTTGATACAAACACAAGTTCGACTGTTAACAAATTTACATTAAACAGCTATTATTATTATATAAATTAAATCTTTATTTCAGTAGTGAATGGTCATGAAAAATAGTTTATACAATTTAGATTTAAATAAACTCAATACAGACTACTAAAAAACCGACCTCAAAAGATAATGTTTTTTTGTGCATGTAAACCCGTTATTACAATTATTTTGTCATGTACATATTTTGGTCTGCAGGAAGAAATTTCTTATAGAAATAAACAGTACTTTCTGATCGTGTTTTCCGTTTTTACTAAATGTAACTTGTGTTTTCCTGTACAATAAATAATTAAATAAAGTAGGAGGAATTCCATCTATTTGCCAATTTTTATTGAAATCGGTTACAGGAAATGCGCGAAACTGTGTTCACTCCCTTGTTTGTGGTGGAATATTTTTTTCAATGGGACTATTATTGAGGTAGGTACTGTAGTCTAGGCTCTACTCTATGAGTAGAACTACTGGCTGAGTGAATATAGTTTTGTATTTAGAATGTGTTTAAAAAAAATAGGATAGAACAAGAACATCTTGGCAGATCTAGAAGTAGCCTCAAAAAGTAAAATATGTAAAAAACACAATAAACATCTAATTTTGAAGTTAATCCCAGTTTATATTTTAAATTTATAAAGTACCTCTCGCTACGCAATCTGAGCTACCCCATAGGCTACAGTACCCTCTTTCCAACAAAAAAAATAATCATCAAAATTGGTTCACAAAGTTATCGTAAAGTTCACAAGTTATCGCGTAACATATACAAGCAAAAATAAAATAAAAATACTATAGAATTGAGAACCTAATCCTTTTTTTGAAGTCGGTTATAAACTAAGGGTCGTATTCTAGAACTCTACTCAATGCTCAAGTCAGGATTGCACTGGAAACACAAGCACTGGAAATACGACCCTAATGGCAAGGACTTGTCTATGATTTTCAGTGCTCACTGCAATACTCAAGTCCTGACTTGAGCATTGAGTAGAGTTCTGGAATACGACCATAAATGACTCCGCATGCTATTCTTAGCTCTATTCCTTACCGCTTGAAGCCGGCTCTGCGTTAATAAGGTGACTCCTTCGATCAATTCCTGCGTCCCGTTCAGGTCATAAAATTTGAAAACTTTCGTCAACGGTGAAGAACAATTTGATAAAAGGTAGGGGAAGGTAGCTCTACGCGGTTACCTTAACTTAGGCCAAATTAAACGGCTGCGGGCGATCGGCGCGGGGGCTTCGTTCGCCAGTAAGTTACGCAGCCGCGAGGAGGAGGACGACGGGACGGTGTGGCCCGTTTCGACGTGAAGAGAGGACGGGGAGAACGTAGCTCCGATCTTGCACTAACGACGTAGTAATGTAATTTTGTAAGTTTGTCCTATACGCCGAAGAAGATTCACAACAATTGGACGTGAACGTGTCCTCAGTCCGCATTGCTTTACAGCACAACCATGCTCAACAGAGGAACTTTAAAGAATTGACGACGAAGACCAGTAAGATTCATAATAAATAACATATTTACATCGCCTTACTGTCTCTAACGCGTATCTTAAAGCATAAAGTAATTGAAATGCAAAAATGGATTGTATCTACAAATTTTACAGGCTGAGTTCACATTACATTTCCTTCATATTCATACATAGGCTTTTACCTATTCTTAAATAAATGCATCCAAATTAACACCCTTGATAAGAAATTTAAAGTAAATAGAAAGTTTTGTCATCTCCTGAATGCTCTTTATGAGATACGAGTTTGAGAGAGTAAGGCATCGATTTGTCTACAGCGATGAATATACTTCACTTGTAGTTCTACATTATATACAAGGTGAAGCCTGAAAACCAGCAAATTGCTGAAGCTGTTACCATTTCTTCAACACAGCCATTTATTTTAATAATAATAATAATGTCAAAGTCAAAGTCAAAGATTATTTATTCCATAGGTAAAATAAATTTACACTTGAAAACATCACATTTAAGCTACTGCTCGTTCACTACGCTGACCTCCCTGAGAAGAACGAGCAAGATACTCTAAGGATTGCTCTTTTCAAATAAACTTAAATAAATAAATAAATAATATAAATAAATAACGCACACACTCAACATAGCCCCGCACTAGGGAAACCCTGTGTCGCGGGTGCCATGGACACACATATAGACAACCACAAATTACACCCAAACTCACGAGAGAAATAAATGTAGGCCATACAAACATTTCTCCCGACCCGGGAATCGAACCTGTGACCTCTGCGTGGCAGTCCGGCATGGTAACCGTTCGGCCACGGAGGCAGTTATAAATAGTAAATAGTAAATGCTATGGAATACACTTTGAATCAAATTTGTGTGGATTCTGGAGCCATGTCGTCTTTCCATACATCTTTATCTAACACGTAGTCTTCAATTTTGTAATAAGATTTTTCGATCAAAATATTTTTAATGTAGTTTTTAAACTTAGGAAATGATAAACTTAATATATGCTCCGGAATGTTATTGTAAAAACGTATACATAGTTCCCCATAAAAGAGTTGTTTACCTTGGTTAAACGAAATCGTGGTACCATGAGTTTACTTCTGACAACATTTAATTTATTTACTTCTGACAACATTTAAGGTCCATTTTAATGTTAATATCAATGATATTACACTGGTTAGTAGAGCTTATCCTAGATTAATACCACATAATTAACAATGAAATTGGCCTCTGTGCGAGTATACATCATCGGGCAATCAGGTCTATCAGCTATCGCTTTCGGTATGCCATTACAGCTCCCATGCATTCTGTTCAACAGCGAGGCAGATTTCTTTCGGCAGCATCAAAGCCGTCCACGCGCGCATCTGCGAACATGCCCGAAGCGCTGCAAAAGCGCGGGAGCTGCAACAGTGCCCTGAATGCATTATTAAATTGGACTCGCAGAGCATTGTATGATTTTTGGGTATATTTGAACCACAAACTTGCCGTGTACAGTGATGTACAAAATGCCTTAACAAATGCTATCTTCACTGTATCCGTACATCTAGCAAACCTTCGAACCAACATGTTCGCCCGAACTGACAATGACTTGCGCTCCCTTTTCATATCCACATCATCCCTAAGATCCTCGGTCACCACATGCCCAAGATATTTAAATTGAAATACTCTTTTAAAAGTAACACGGGTGGTACAAAAGTAGGGCACTTGTTTCCCGCCTTAAAGACCATGTACACTGTCTTTTTAACATTGTAAGTTAGACCATGTGACTCCGCGTAGGATTCACACATACCTGTTAAGTAGCTTTCTCATTGTGCTAACTGAAGGAGCCAGCAGTACCGTATCGTCCGCGTAGCTGAAATTATCGACACATACGTCGTCAATAAAACAACCAAGTAGTTTACCGCCAAGTTCCTCAATCAGCGCATTCACATATAAATTGAATTGAACGGGTGAGCTCAAGTCACCCTGTCTCACCCCGCATTCCATCCTCCTTGGATCCGAGAACTCACCCGTCCACCGCACTCGGCTTTCCTGATTCAAGTACCAGAATCTAAAGAGAGATACCAACTCTGGCGGCAGCCCAGTATCATTTAGTTACCGCCAGAGA